CTTGATTATTCGCTAATTATTATTCTCTGCTCAAGGTCTTGGTTCGAGACATGATGTTTTGGACAAAAAAAAACATCAAAGATCAGACAAAATATCTATTTCATAGTCCTACGGCAACAAAAGGCAAAATGAAATTTTTCACGATGTTGCATGCAAATAGAAAGTCAAATATGAAAGAAGGAAAAATCTCACTCTCGTTCCAAAAGAAGTATAATTTGACTCTCAACTTTTCCTAAGATATTTATGTTGAAATGGACATGTCAAAATTCATCTCTTATGGCAAGATACATATCTTAGGATATGTCTAAATTTGTTTGGCCCATTAGAAGCCTGCGGTGTCGATTTTTTATTGTCCAAAAGAAGAGTTGTATATTATATATATACATACTTCCTAAACTTGTTTTGGTCAAGCTTTTCATTATCATTTTGGAGATAAATTATGAGAAGGAGTCGAGAACCATATTGTATTCTTCTCCACATGATATTATAAGAGAGGAGATTTGTAGAGAGGTTTGTCCATGTGTTGAGAGACAAAAATTTAATACGATTGTGCATGTTTTTTAGTGAAAAATATGCTCAAAGTTATTGGTTCGTGGAGTTGAAGATGACATCTTAAAAGTGTTCTAACAGTCTGCTGTCTCGACAAATTGTCAAGTGTTTGTTTAGTACAAAGGGAAATTCCAAGAAGAGTTGAAGATGGAAAAGGTGAAGCGGCCTACACCCTCGTCCTATCTAAAAGCACAAACCAACGGAGGTTGCGACCTTGCATGCTTGTTTTTGTGAATGAATGTGCACTTACATGTGGTAGGAAAACCAATGCATTTTAGTTGAGTGTTTGTGGCTTGAGATTTATGGAGTTTGTGTGAGAAATTTTTGTATTTTGTTTCTACTTTATTCATAGTGGAATTGCCCTGAATTGGTATCTCAGTCGTAGGCCGGTTGAGTGTCGAACTGGATCAACAAACTTCGGTGTGCTGGTTGTTTCGTTTTATTCTGCACAGACTTTTCTGTAATATGTTCATCATGCAAACTAAGAGCAAACGCCAATATTTGAATACAGTAAACTTTAAGATCTTGCATTTGATTCCGTTGCACATATCATTTGTGTCTAGATTTTGTTTTTAAAATGAAAAAATACAAATTTGTATAACCGCCATGTTATAATCATTAATTTGCCATCATTGAAAAGTTTGCTCAAAACTTTTGTCGTAGGGATAGAAATATTTTTATACTTTTCTTTGAAAAATTGTAATTGTTCCATATTTGGTAATATATTTTTCTTATTAAATTAGGTTAAATATAAAACACACAAATATATATATATATTTGCTATCCGCCCATGGCAATGCTTTAAATGGATAGAATGAATTTTTCGAAAAATTTTTAGGGAATTATTATGTTTTTCTATTATATATAACATAGATACATTTCTCATGGACAAATTAAAATGATAAAAAACAATCATACTTCTAGTGACCACAATGAATATGATAATTTATTTCGCAAGAAATGGCCTGATGGTTGCATGGGTGAGTTCGTGACCGTGAGATCATAGGTTTAAACCCCGACGTCTTCAAATCCATCTACCACATATAGTTTGCTTAGTATTCGCTTAGTATGACTTGTCTTCTCAGGTCTAGTTTGCAAGATATTATATTCGACCGAATGTTTATCCGGAACACTCAATAAGTAGCGATTACAAATTTATGCGATATCAAAAAATATGTATATGTATATATATATATATTCAAACAAGTCCTCATTTTAAAGCCAAGTAAAGGTATGTCAATCTAAGTCACAAGGGTGTCAAGGGTTGACATTCCTATCCAGATTCTCGGCCATAATCCGTCCTATATGTGTCAATCTCTATCTTGTATGGCTGATTAATGACATATGTCTTGGTGCATGTACGTGTTCAGCATGATTCTCCATACTGTATGGTATATCTCGAGCGTGTTGCACACAGAGAACAATTGGTTTGGGCCTTAGCGCAGGCATGGCCTAAACGCCAGGCGTGTCAGCTTCCGGACACATTACAAGGAGCTGGATTAAAATTTATTCAACTTTGCCTTTTTTTTTTCTTTTACAATTATAAATTAAAATAAACATTATTTCATTGGTATAATTTTTAATAAAAATACATTGTAATCAATACTTATTTTATGTCAATTTTAAATTACAATTAAAAAAAACCTCATATTTTATGAGAAGAAAAGCAGCTGAGTGAACATGGTCAAAACGAATTAAAAATTACCCAATGCAACATTAAGGGAAAAAAAAAAAAAAAAAAAAAAACTTAACAAAAATTGACCAATCGAACAAAGTCAACTTATTAAGACATTTCTAATTATATATTTTAAAGTCGATTGCCAGAAAATTATGAGCAGGCTAAAAATCATTAAAAACACATCTCATGATCTCATCTATTGGTAAAAATAAATAAATAAATAAATAAATAAGGAAATATTCCGTTGGTGCTCAACAGCTAAATATTCCCATCATATCAAACCTTAATAATACTATCCCAGATATCGTGTCTGCTACACTGTAGATACAGTATTTTAGGAGGGGTATAATTAGTAGATAATTAAGAATGTATTAGTGAAAATAATTATCCGATAATATAAATAATTATAAATTAAGATTAAGATAACTAATTAGTTTAATTAAAATTTAAAAAAAATTAAAAAGTTTAAAATGAGATTAAAGTGTGTAATCATTTTCCAAAAAAAGAAAATGACATGGTATATGAGACGGACATAAACGACAACGTGAACATGATATGTGGGACGGAGAGAGTAATATAAAGTGCACTACTGTAATAAATAATTTATTAGTATTAAAATGTATTAGTGTGTGTTTGATTTATATTTAAATTTTGTTTTGATTTGAAGAGTAATTAAATGCAATATATTTTGTTATTAAAAAGCAATATTTTTTTCTATAGTTTAAGCCTATAATCATTTTTTTAATTGTCATAAAAATTTATTTTTATTTTATTTTTAAAGTAAAAAATCATTAAATTTTGTATTTTCTTTTACTGTATAAAAAAAATTAACAATTATTATTTAATTTTATTAAAACTATTTCGGATCAAGTGAACATACAACTGCAAGTGAGAATGAGTATATGTTTATAAAATATTAATAATTAGGTACCAGAAAAACTCAGGAGAGGGTTTGTTACTTTACCAAAGAATTTTCAACATATTTTTCCAAAAAAAAAAATTTAATTTACTATCTGCATTAATTATTTTTATATTATCTATATGTCATATAAAAAAAAGTTAGACCAAAATACAAAACAAACATAAAGTGAAACTTTTTTCCATTTTCAATTCTAAGTGTGTATTTTTAAAGAACTAATAATTTACTTTTGTGTCTTATAAAAGTGTGTTTAATTTGTTAATTTAATATGTATTATTTAAGATATTTTTGTCGTCAAATCTAGAAAATTATGAAAATATTATTAAAAAAATATATTAATAATTGTATGTTTTTGTTGTCCTTTAGAATGCTTTTGTTGATTTTTATTATTTTTATTGAATAAATAATACTCTCTCCATCCTATAAATAGAGTTTTAATTGGGTTGAACATAGAATTTAAAAAATATTGATATTATATTAATAGTTGGTAAAAAAATATAGATAAAAGATTTTTTTACCCTTGTGAGTGTATCAGTGTAAAAAGTAGTGGCAATTGTGTAATAAAAATGAAAAAATAAGGGTAGTTTTACGATGATATAGTTATTTATGGTGATAAGACTATTGTTTTGAGACGGACAAAAATGGTAAATAAGACTATTGTATTGGTACGAAGGGAGTATATTTTTGTTAAAACTCATTCGAATTATATAATAATAAAAATATATTAATTTAAATTACAGCCAATAAACCTTAAAGTTTGGAATGCATATATATATATATATATAAGAAATATGTATATATTTAAAAAATGAAAATTAGATGAGATGATATAAATTATAATTCATATAAATATATAATACCCTTGTTTTATTTACTCTGGTTTATGTTTGTGTTTTAAATTTGTTTTAAACAATAATTAAACTTATTATTTTAAGAATAAATTATTTGTTTTTATAGAAATACATAAGAATTAAATAGTAAAAAGAAAAAGAAAATGAGAAGACAAAATTCATTAGCTTTTGGACCGTACAAAGAAATGGTCAAATCTATTTGGGCAATTAATTCAACTGTGTTTGTTAGTTGTTTTGCTTGGTTCAATGTTTTTACTCAGAAGGCTTGTTAGATTTTGATTTGTACTTTGTATCATTTAAATAATATTTTGATGTAACAATTTTAAATAAATAGATAAATATTTTTTTATTAAAAATATATAAACTAAATAGTGATAATTTTGACTTAAAAAGCAAATCAAAGACACTCTCATATCTTTTTTATTTTATTTTTTATTAGGTCATCAAATACAAATATATATAAGGGGCGGTTTACAGGAGGAGGAGTAGGGTGAGCAACTGTTCAGACTCTAGGTCCATATTTTAAAATATTATCTATTATTATTATTATTAGATTTTAAGTTCTAATCAAATACTTTTTTTTTTTTTACACTTCTTTACCTTACACCTTGTTGCGTTGCATTCACCAACTCAGACTAAACTTGCTTTACATTATCTCTTATCTCTTTCACTTTACTTCAATCTTTCTCGCTTTTTGAATTTTCGAACATACGTCTTTCATCTTCTTTTCTCAAATTGATATTATTCAGACGGTCACGTTTAACCTCTTGTTCAATCAACGTCAATCAGTCATATTATTTTGAAAATACATTTTAATTATATTTTGTAGAACCTATAATTTATTTTCGCTCAGAGCCTAAAAAAAATCCGAGACGGTCTTGTATATATAGATATATATATATATATACACAATACTATTGAAAAGTACGTCGTCTTAAAGCTGTAAAGCAAACTAATAGTTCGCAAGCTTAGCTCGTTTGAGCTCGTTGAGGACGGATTATGATTTGAACTCTTTGCCCGGACAGATCTTCCAACGCGAAAATCGCTACCGTTTTCAGTCAAATTGATTTGGTTAGTGTCAACGAATTTGAGTTTTCCGTTTGTGATGGGAGATTCAGCAGAGGAATTAGAATTAAGAAAAATTCTCCTTCGGAGAGAGACGATAAAAATACATACGTAATGCCGATTTAGGGGCATTTTGCATTTAGCTTAAACATGATCATCTGTAGCTTCGATTTCAATGGCTGCCTTAGTTTTTGGTCCACTTGTTTGAACCATCGTAAACTTGCAGGCATTTACAGCTTCTCCAACAGTCAGGTGGATCCATTCATTCCCGATTGCGCCGAGGAAGTTCGATTTGTCTAGTTTCTTCATTACTTCTGCTCCAGGGTTGGCTAACACAAGCTGATAGACAATATAAAAGAGACTCGATAAACTCAAATTTAAATCTAAAATTAAATATCTAAAATATTTCAACAACATACATACCTTCATGCATCTTTTTTCGACGATTCTATTGATCTCTTCTAGCATGCTGATTCCACTAGTGTCGATGCTTCCCACAGCTGTTGTTCAGTTAAAAATTTTAATTAATAGGGGTGGAAAATAGACTAGGTCAGGCCAAACTTTGATTAAATAGATCAGGCTTATTTTATAAAATTAAAGTTTGACTCTGGACTATCGGCCTATTAAAATATATATCTAAAACTTGGTCTACGAGCCTATATTTAAAAACCTGTATAATATTTTTTTAATTTTTAAATTTTCAAACTTAATATTTGTAAAAAAAAATAAAAATACAACTATTTATTATATATAATAAGTCAATTAAAATAAACTAATTTTTTTATGATCACCAAATATAATTTTTTATGAATTATAAACAATTAAAAATGTAATATGTGTATATATTAGATATAAGAAATTATATATAAATATATAAATACATAGCTTGCCGATAGACCAAAATAACTTTTTTGTAAAACTTAAACTTGTTCAATTTATTAAAAAATATTTGAAAATATATTTGAATTTAAAATCTTTAATAAACAAATTAGGCCAAACCAGACCTTATACAAAGACAGGATTGTCGGCTCCTGATGGACAATATTGAATTTTAAGGTATAATTTCACTTGAGCACTCACCAGTCATGTCTAGTATAATGTATTGCAAGTCGTTGTTCGTCGACTCTTTCAGTTTTTCTTCCTCTTCATTTATCCATCTCAAGATCCTGAGGACAGTAAAATCGACTCAGAAGAGTGACTTCAATAACAACTTGAATATCGATGTAGGTACCTTTCTCTCAAGTAGTTAGCATTGGCAAAATAGATCGGAGCATCGATGTGTAGGATAAGAATTCCCGGAATGGGACTCGCATTTTTGTACTGCTCGATGTTTCTATACGCCACGGAATTAGGTAAACTTCCCATGGCTGATGTTCGTGGCCTCGCCACAAACAAAAGTACCCGCAAAAGGGATAACGCCACCTGTCACAAAATACAACTACTTATCATAAGTAAGAAAAAATTGCAAAAAATATGTCGCATGTTTACCTTATTATCACTTTTGTCATATACTTATCTCATGGCAAAATATATCTTATATATTTGCAAAAGTAGCCATCTAAAAGATAGAAATAGCGATTTTTGTTAACATGTAAGATATATTTTACTAATAAATACGGAACAAAAATGATAATAGAATATTTTTTTGCAATTTTCTCTGGTAAGTAAAAATATCAAAAACTTGGTAGGGAGTTGCAATTTCGATTGCTATTGTGCGCATACCGCGACCACTATTCCAGTCTCCACGCTTCCAAAGACAACTCCTATGTATGCACTTATGCAGACAACGAAGTCGAACTTGTCGACTGTCCAAAGGTGGACAGCGGCGCTATAGTCGATGATGCTGATCATGGCAGTCATGATAATAGCAGACAGGACGACGAGGGGCGTGTAATGGAATAAAGGCGTAAGGAACAGCAAGGTTATCATCACTGCCGTCGCCATTACAATGTTAGAAACTGCCGTCTTGCATCCTGCGTTGAAGTTCACCGCCGTCCTCGAGAATGGCCCTGTGGTTAGGTAACAAGACGTGCAAGAACCTGCTATGTTCATCATTCCTATAGCTATCATCTCTTTGTTTCCGTCTATGTGGTAATTTTTGAACACGGCAAAGCTTCTTCCTACAGCTATCCCCTCCTGTGTAGTTAAAGCTAACATTTATCATCGACGTCTTACTGCCACTAAAAAAATATTGAAATTTAGCTACAAAAACTTTTGTACCGAAACTCATTTCATCACCTATACCACGTTAGTAAAGATTTTTGGCGATAAATATGACTTTCGTAATGAAAATTAATTTTTTTTTTTTGTAATGAAAGTTAAAGAGAAAATTAATAGCTATGAAAATATGATTCTTTGCTATAAAAATAAAATATATAAAAAATAATTTTAGCAACAAAATATGCATAATTTTTTTAGCCAAATATTTTTAGTTATGAATAATAATTTTGTAGCTACAATCCCTTTTATGAAAATAGAATTTTCTAGCAAATAATTTATTTTTAGCGATAAAATTAATTTTTGTTGCTAATCAACACGTTTTATTACAAAAATATTTCGTAGTTAAAAATTTTGTAATTAATTAGATACTTTTTTGTAGTGCGCCATTTTTGGAGGAAAAGATTTTCATTGCTACTTACAGCGAGAGCGATGAGGCCGGTGATGAGCCCTGTCTTGATGGCTATCGAGAGATGAGCTGATTTAAATGTCGACTCGAGCTCCATTATTGATGGGGGATTCAGACCTTTCTTAAGGTGCCCAATCTGAAAAAAACAGATAAGTTGTTAACTTTAAGGTATCTTTGCTTGTACTTATTACATATACTCTTCTGCCTATTTTTATTACACATCTTACGATTTCGATGCCGTGTCTGTCGGCGTGCGTTAGATAAACAAGAATGCTTCCGAAGATAACGGATACGAGAGGAGCCAATGCATTAGCCCAGAAGAATACTGGTTTTTTCCTGCTCTGTAAATTTACAAGTTCACTTAGCAACAATGGTGTATGCTATGAGGTACGAGGTATGTATTCATGAAGTATGTGCATAAAGAAAATAAATGTTGCAGAATACTTACGTAGTATTTGGTAATGAGGAGAAAGAAGAGGAAACCACAGCCCAGTACCACACTTTCCCATCTCCACTGCATTCATCATCATAAATGTTACTCCCTCCGTCCCAAACAAGATGCAACTTTTGTTTTGGGCATGAATTTATTTTTATGTGGGTGGTATTAAATAAGATAATTCAGAAACTAGGTGATGTGATGGAGAGAAAAAAATATATATATATTTGGGTGATTAGATGAGATAAAGTTTGGGGGGTAGAGATTAAATATAATTAATTATTTCCTATTTTGAAAATATTACACTGTATTTGGGACGGAGGGAGTACATATTATAAAAAATAAAAAATAAAAAATTGTTAAAAAGGGATCCGAGCTTCCAATCTAAAACCAATTGGTGATAGGTGAAGCGGTCTTCACCCTTATAAACCTAGAGAGATCCCATATTTCTTCAGTGTGGATATATTCAACAAAAATTATATATTGGACTGATTATGGTACTGATTGTGGTTAAACACTGATTAGCCCCAGTCAATAGATTGTAATTATATACACAACATATAAATTGTCGTTGAAATAATATACTCCCTCCGTCCTAAATCAAACGGGCCTTTTGGGATTTTGTATTAGATTAAGAAATAATATTAATTTATTAGTTAATTAAAGTATATAATTTTTTTTTTTTACATGTATAATGGTATTTTGTAATTTATGTAAAAATTAAGAGTATTTGGTATTAGTATATGAATACTTTTTATAAAATAAAAAAGTGATACTTTAAAATGACAAAAATGATAAAAATAATAACTTGAATTAGGCCGGAAGGAGCATTTTATATATGTGAGCTATGATATGTGATGTGTGGACTATTGTACGTGATGTCTTTTTGTATATTACATTGTATTATATTAATATAAACTGTGACTGAGCACTGTCAATATCTAATATATGCTGAGATCAATGATGTCACGACTCATGTACTTTGGTTGCTATTGTTATGTACTGTCAGCGGCATTTGTATTATATTAATTTAAATTATTTGTTGTTTGTTTATTTATTCCGGATTTGTGTATGTGTTGTCAGTAGAGTGTCGAATGATATCATTCAACGCACTAACAGTCTATTGTTGAAATATTTTAAATATTCAGTTTAAAATATAGCTATATATAGGCCCATAGGACAGATAGTTTTATCTTCTTAAGTACTTACCATATGCATTTGGGTAAATATCGATTTCATAGCCGAAACCAGGTCAGCCTTGTGAGTGAAATGCACCAGTCCAAGAATGCCCTTAAGTTGCTGCAAACAAACCACCGTGGCGGCGCCTCCCATAAACCCGACGATGGTTGCATGGGACAGAAAGTCGACAATGAAACCGAGCCTACATAAAAATCCGAAAACGGGGTCACTAAAAACGCCGATAGAAAAATCTTCAAATCTAAATTCGGACAGTGAGGATTAACCTTAAAAAGCCTAAAGCAGCCTGGAAGACACCGGCAAAGAAAGTTGCTGTAAGAACCAGCTGCACATACAGCTTAGTGTCCTGATGAGGGCTGACCTCCTTCCCCAGCATTGACGTTATCAGAAGCGACGGAACGGCCACTGTCCCGACGGCTAAATCCTTCGAACTCCCCAACATTGCGTACACAAATGGTGGCACAAAGCTTGAGTCTGCACACATTCATTACAAAGGTTTCAAGAAAAAGGTTCTTTCTTTCTACTTTCATGGAAAATAGAAAATTAATTTCATGTTTATTGATGTGTTTGTGGCGAATCATAGTTGTCAATAGTGCGCTAATAACGGTCTACCACTGCTCTGCGATATAGCATAGGCGGAGTCAAGCATTTTTTAAATTAAATAATATTGTTATACTAATATTTATTACTCCCTCTGTCCACAAAAAAAAATATACTAATTTTCTTTGTATTTTACATATGAACATGTTTTTTGTGGGCGGAAATAGTATATAATACTTCCTTCGTTCCATAATTAGGTATCCGTTTGTCTTTTGCACGTAGTTTTAAAAATATTAGTATTATATTAGGATGTAGTATGAATAAAATAGAAACGACTAAAATAACCTTAATTTGTAATGACATTTGTGTAATATACTGTAAGTTGTAAGGATTTTTGTAACATTAATACAGTTACTAAAAAAATGAAATGGATATTTTATTATGGGACGGACTAAAATGAAAAAATAGATAATTTGTTATGGACTGAGGGAGTATATAGATTTTACAATATAATACTTATACTCCTTTAGTCCTATTTGTCTGTTTCTATTTATTTTGCCATTTTTTAAAAAAAAAAAATTATATACTTTAATTTCATTTTTTTAAGTTTTTTTAATTTATATTTTTTAAAATTTTAATTAGACTAATAAATTATGTTAATCTTAATTTATAATTATTTTTATTATAATATAATTATTTTCATTAATATATTTTTAAATATTTACTAATTATACTCTTTCTAAATTCTTGTGTCTATAGTCCTGACACCATAGTCCTCACAGAATTGGTATTTGTTATTTGGTAAAGATAAATTTTATACTATTGTATTATAATATATTATAGTTACTTCTAACTCTAAAAAAAATAAGAATATCAGTGCAATGCGACAAATATACAATTGAAAAAATAAACAAAAATAAAGAAGAGGAAAAACTTTCATAATACAAGACCAACAGTGAAGATGGTGAAAAAGAAAATAAATAAATAAAAAATTATTTGTCAAATTTTGAGTTTACTTATATAACTATCTATGATCTATGATTATATAATTTTGCAATTTTCTTAAATTGAATGACAATTAGAAGATTAATTTATAGATTTCTCATATACTTATTGTTCTTATATTTTCAAAATTTTAAATAGTCACTACAAAAAAAATAATATATTTGTAACAAAATTTCGTCCCTAAAGATCACGTAGCAAACGTAATTTCATCGTTAATTTCGTCTCTAATATCATTAGTAACGGAAAAAGTGAATTTAAAGACGAAAAAATCTCGTTACAAAAATAATATTTTCTTGTAGCGAGTTGTTTTCCTGCTATAGGATTTTAGATGTTAATGGCTATTCGAAATAGACAACTATGAAGTGAATACATACAGAGGCCGATGACAGGAGGCAAGCTGGCCAAGCCGGCGTAGCTGATGCCCTGAGGCACCGCAAGGCTGGCAATGGTGATTCCGGCTATGAAGTCGGCTTTGAAGAGGTCGAAAGTGTAGCGCGGCGCCCATTCGAGTATCGGCACAAAGTACTGTAAGAAAAGGACAAACTTCCTTGATGCTGATTGATTCTTGAATTGGTTGAAGGGATCATCAGGGAAGAATGTCTCCTTGAGAGATGAGGTTAGGGATTCAAGAAATGGCTTTGTTGCAGGAACTTGCACCTTCATACTCCCATGGTTTTCATGGCCTCCATTTCCCATTTTTTCTTTGACAAGAATTTTGAGGTAGAATGGATTATATTTAATATATATAATTGTTGTATGTCTATATGTATTGTATGTATAATGTGTGTGTATTTGTGTGATAGGGTGTGTAGGGAGGTGGTGATACAGAGGAGAAAGGGATGGATTTCAGAAAGATTGTTGCTTTGTTGGGAGTTGTGGAGGAGCTTGAGGTATGTATGTGTGTGTATATATAGATTGATATACTACCTCTGTTCAATTGGTGTCAGAATATTGATATTTGAATATTAATTATTATATCAAAATGCAATATAAATTAAAAACATTTACAAAAATACTTTCATTTAGTGTCTTATAATACTAATAGAAGGACAAAAAATTATACAAATATAAGAATATTTTTAATGTTAAGTACAACGACGCAAAAGATAAATATGACCCCTTGAGACGGACGGGGAGAGTATGATGCTTTATTTATTTATATTTATATTTAAAGTTTGAGGTAACTATAAAAATACTCTGGATGTCATTTAAATCAAAATTTTAATATTTCTTCATTCCAAAACAATAGTGACATTTGGGATGAGCACGAAAATTAAAGAATAATATTATTATATTGATAGGAGTGTAAAAGTGTTTTTGAAAGACTAAAATGCCTAATTTTGTAAAAATGTGAAAACCAAAAATGAAAATTGGACTATTATTTTGAATCGGGGGAAGTACATAAAAATAAAAAATGAAAAATAAAAAAAAAAATTGTTTGAGTATCTTTGTTGGACAAAGATTTATGTTTTAATCTAAGTAAAAAAAAAAAAAAAAATTATTAGTCCTTATGGACAAAATCAGAAAGTTTTTATGGAGATTTTAGTTAATACAATAATGAATTATACAATAATTTTTATTTAAATTGTTTTGTTTATTTATATTAAAAAGTTTACAACTTACAATATACTACTATAATTTACCAATATTTATTGAGATGGTTAAAATGATAACTTCTATAGTTTAGCAGTATACCCATTATTTATTTATTTTTTTGTTGTGGTTTATAAGTATTTTTCATTTTTTATAAGTAAAAAATTGTATTTACTTTTTGTCATTTCTATATATGTTTTATTATAAAAAAAAATTATTATTTTATTCAGTCATAAATTTATTTTTACACCAATCATAGGTCACATATTTTACTGATCAGCTTTCATCTATTTATAAGATTAATTTATAAAATCTCAATTCTATTCTTATAAAAAATACAAAAGTAGTATTAAAATATTAATTTTTTTATATATTAATATACAAAAGTTTTAAGCACTGTTTGATGAGAAAGGAATAATTACTTTTCATTCATATTAAAATTGTAATAAAAAGTATCTATCATATACTAGCATTTTTTATGACTGGAAGTATGTGACATAGGAAATATAAAAAGACATCTACCTGTACAATTTGCAATCTAGAAATTTCTTAACCCCCATGTAGAATGAACGCCTGGGTGGGTGGGTGGGTAGGTAACTATTACAAGAATTACATCATGATATCTAGAAGATTTGTTTGGCTGTTTTCTTTTGTTTTGTACATAGTAAAAAAAAATCAATTGAAATAATTATTTTTATTTGCTGGAATTATTTATTCTATTAAATTTTAATAGAAAATAAGTTTAAAATTAATATTTTTATTTTTATTTTTGTGATAAATATATATTTTTCGTATCTAAAATTCATTACTCCTTCCGTCCCGGTACAAGGTTGTCGTTTACTTTTTGCACGTAGATTTTTTAATATTAGTATTATAATGGATTGTATTGAAAAAGACAAAAATACTCCTATTGGTATTGTATAATATAAAAGTAATAGCATTTGTGTAATATAATGTAAGTTGAATGATATTTATTATGTTAAGTAGATAGTACAATTACTAAATTAGGAAATAATAACCTTATTTTGAAACGAAAAAAAATAAAAAATAACAATTTTTCAATAAAAAAAATATTACTATTTTTGTTATTTAAATACAAATGGTATATAAATAATTCTATATTTAATCCAGCCCGTGATCAACATAAACTAGCAACACATGACAATTTTTATAGTATTAAATATTAATGTAAGTTCAATTTTAAAATTTATATTTGATAGATATAAATATAAATTTATGTCAATATTTAATGTTAAGAAATTGTCATATAGTTAATCCTCTAATTTCAAATATATCAGGTAAACCGTTTTTTTTTAAGTCTAGTAACTAAATCCTTTTATCATTTTAGTCACGTAAGTGGAGCCTATTGCAAACTAGTCCCATAAGTGAAAAATTTTTGTTGTTTTAGTACTCCGGCGCCGGAGACGCCCGCGTGACTCGCCGGATGTGACGTATCCGTCAGGTGTCCCGCCAGGCCACCGACAGCTGGCGGCTTTGGAAAGATGGGCCCTGGAGCCTGGGAGGTCTATTGATAGAGATTAATCGTTTTTTTCCGGATACCCTTACACTCATTATGCCTAGCATTGAATGCACTGATATTCACCTTATCAATATCTCAAATCAATGATCCGGTCTGTTTGGTACCAAAATCCGATCGAATCACTTAATTTTCAAAATTCGAAAAATGGGAAAAAGATTCCATCATATTACTATATAGTTATAGTAAAATCTTCCCTCCGGATTTTCTTTTTCATTTTTTTTAGTTTTTTTTAATTTTTTTAGTTGGACTAAATAAATAAAATAAAATAAAAATAAGTTTTAAAAAAATAATAAAAATATAAAAAATAAATAAATAAATCCACGTGTCCGCCAGGTGTCGCTGACCTGGCGGGACACTTGGCGGACACGTCACCTCCGACGAGCCACGCGGGCGTCTCCGGCGTCGGAAGACTAAAATAGCGAAAATTTTTCACTTATGGAACTAGTTTGTGACATGCTCCACTTACGGACTAAAATGACAAGAGGTCCAATTATGAAACTAAAAAAATAGTTTACCCAATATACTATGTTAGCACAATTCTAATACGAAAAAAATATTTTCAACAACTATAGATTAAATATAGGACTATTTTTATACATACTTCACTTAAAAATTACGGGACAAAAAATATTTATCCCGTTATTTATTTATTTATTAGTGACATGAATAGTTATGAACAATATTTATTGTTGGATTTATTTCTTGTTATGTCCAAGCATGCTTTACTGGGATTTTGACTGGGCTCCCTGTGCACATTATATTTGTTATCCCTGTTTGTTTTGGGGATTTTCACCGAACTTGACTGTTCATTCAATTTTTTTTTCTTAAAAATATCAAATTAAATATTTATTTTTTATTTTTTATATTATACTAAAAATCAATTTTATATTTAAAATATTATATCAGCACTTATTTATATAACATCATACAACTATTCATATTCAAATTTTTTACTATTCAAATTTCAATCCAAAATCCAAACCCCCAAACAAACACACATTGGTGCATGAAATTATTGAATAATTCTTTTTGTTGTTGATATGATGATATGGTTAGGTTTGATATATATATATATATTTAAAAAAAAAAAAAAAAAAAAAAAAAAAAAAAAAACAACTTAATTAAAGTCTGTAGATTATGTTTCTAGTGGTAGATATTTAAAATCTACTTGATTAATTTTTATGTGAAATTATTTTACTACTAATTATGTGTTGAGATTTTATTGACTTATCATGAAGTAGAGAGCTAAGTAAGTGGGATTATAGGTAATCAATTTTTATAGATTTTAGTAGATTAGTTTCAGCACTTTTTTTACACTTTTTTTTTTTTTTTTTGTTAATCTCAATTATATAAAAATATCATGTGAAATTTTAACCTACTGAAAAGGATATGAAGTTTCTTTTTGTTTAATTTAAGCCAATGATCATGTATGATTAATTTAATTTAGAGGAAGATCATTTTCTTGCCTTTGCCTCCCCACTATGGGATTTTTATTCTCAATCTATATCTCTAATTATTTGATTTGGATAGAGTGGTGATTTGTGATTTATGAGCACCATATTGATTGTCACACGTAAATATTATAGATAGCATATGAAAATATAATAAATATTATATGCTTTATAAACTATTAGTATGCCTTATTAATTTTATTTTATATATAAGTTCTAGATTTATATGTAAATAATTGTCTCGCATATATTACTGTTTTACTCCTTCCGTCTCAGATACCGTGTCTACTACACTGTAGATATGGTATTTTAGGAGGGGCGTAATTAGTAAATAATTAAGAATGTATAAGTAAAAATAATTATTCTATAATATAAATAATTATAAATTAAGATTAAGATAACTAATTAGTTTAATTAAAATTAAAAAAATAAAATTAAAAAATTTAAAATAAGATTAATATGTGTAATCATTTTCCAAAAAAGAAAGTGACATGGTATGCGGTACGGACAGAAACGGCAACATGGACATGGTATCTGAAACGGAGGGAATAATACATAAGCATAGCAACCGCCGCCGTGATTATAAGTTATTTTGAGGGAGGCGGTTCTTGTGGTGAAAGAAGATTAATTAATACTCATTTCGTCTTATTTTTATCATTTTTGTCTGTCTCACTCCAAATCATTTTATCTTTTATTTTAGTAAAAGTAATCATACACTAATACCAAAATACTTTAACTTTTATTTAAATTACAAACATATTATTACACATACAATTACTTTATACATAAAGTCAAATGATAAAAATGTCAAAAGTTCTGACGCTTATACTAACCAATAAAATACTACTCCTTCCGTCCCAATACAATAGTCTTGTTTATCATTTTTGTCCGTCCCAAAACAATAGTCTCATTTTCATAAATAATCATATCACTATAAAACTATCCTTACTTTTTCATTATTATTACACAATTGTCACTACTTTTTACACTAATATACTCACAAGGGCAAAAAAAAATTTTATCCGTACTTTTTACCCACTACCCATATAATATCAATATTTCTTAAATTTCGTGTCAAACCCAACCCAAATTATAATTTTGGGACGGAGTGAGTATTATTTTTTAATTTAGTACAAAATCTCAAATAGTCCATTTGGGACGAAAGAATAGATACTAACCACATACAATTATAATAATCCATACTATATATATTTAATGGGTGTGTTTAT